TGCCACCCAGTCAGAGAGGACTTTACAGCACCTGAGAGAGATAAGAACACACAGCCAGCACGGCAATAAGATGCTTCTTTTGGAAGGGCAGAATTTCCTAACCTGGCAAGACCCTGGAAATGTAACAACCACCAACCGTCCCCTTGCAAGGAAATAAGAGCTGAAGCCTTGACTATAAATAGATTATAAAGAAGCATGAGAGGTTTGCAGAGTGGTTTTACTAAAGGCAAGAGTATTTAGAAGCAAATTAGGGTTTTGCACATAAAATTTGCCTGAAATTTAGGATGAGCTCATATTTGGGATTGCTCAGGCCGGCAGCCTGGGGCTGGCAGACTGCACCCAACTGCCTTTCAGAATTCTCTCTAGTCATACAGAAGATCCATCCAGGCTGACCAGGAGATCCCAGGTGAGAAGATTTTCATCATTTTTCTTTTATTTTTTAAATCACCATGCAGAATAGTGCCACAGCCAAGCAAGAACGAGTCAGGCAGCTGTCCTCAGGGGACAAAGTATGGTGCCAAACAAGACAAATGTAGTGCACCCAGCAAGGTGCTACATGAAGAAGTTTCTATGAAAGCACCACCTCCCTCAGCTGTAAACTGTTACTCCTGGGCAGTAAACCAACAGGAATTCTTAATCCTTCAGTGTTATCATTATTAGAGTATCATTCACCCACTTGTCCACAAGCTGCCTTCTTCTCCCTCCAACTGCTTCATCTTACAACAATGCCTCCTTTCTGGCTCACAAGGCCAACAATAGGCTCTCCCCTGAGCTCGTGGCAGCATCTCCAGGAACACTTGGCAGGAGGCAGCATTCGGGTGATTTGTCAGGCATCCTCCCAGGGAGGCTCAACACATCAGTCATGCTGCTGACACTCTCCACAGCCAGGGGAGCTCATGGAGGACTTCCAGGTCCAAGCAGCTGCTCTTCATTGACCATCCAAAAAAAAGACAGCAGAAGGAAGTCCTCATTTCCTGTGATGGTCCTTGTGACGTGCCTGTGCTGGGCTGAGCTAAGCCTGTGTGAGTAAAGCAAAGCAGCAGGTAATGAGCAGAGGACTGAAGTCGTATTTCTAGCCCAAGAACAAATCTGGCCTCTAAGCAAAAACAACTGCAGGTTACCTTTTTATGATGTGCAAAAGGTTCCCTCTTTCCAACAAAATTAAAAAAAAAAAAAAAAATCTGAAGAGTAACTATTTTTAAAAAGAAAATTAAAAAACTACCATATTTTCATCACACTATTTTCAGAGGATGCACTGTTGTTGGGTAGTGCCAAAAACAACCAACATTTGCTGTCCAGAATAACAGAAAATATCTTGATCTGACTGCTCTGACTTAATTAAAATTAACTAAGACCCTTGAGTCTTTAAATAAAACCTGTCATGAATGTGGCACCAAAAAAAAATGTAAATCTGAGTCACTCCTTCCCTTCTTATAGTGTCGTGAGAGAAATGTCCATCAGTTTATCACCAGTGTACCAATTTTGCTTAGGTAACTGTTGTTTAAAGGACAGTCAAGATTACTAGCTTTAAGACAGACAAATCCTCCCCCCTTTTCCTATGCAAGAAAGACAAGGGTTTGCAAATCTCCATGTAATACCTTTTTTTTTCCCCTTAAAATTGCTGAATTAAAGCCCTAAGCTCTGAGCAGTGATTGATTTCTGAAGCTGGGTGGGGTGGAATGTTCTGACTTACGTGGACAATGGGGAACTGGCTTTGACTGAGATTTCTGCCATCTTTAAAGTATGTTCAAGGTTCCTGGTGGTTTAATGTCTCTTAAAGATAATAAATCCCTTATGAGACAGGAGGCTGAACAATCATATACCCCAGGCTAGGGCGACCTGTATAGTTCCAAGAATAACTTCCAGAGCAGGCGATAGCAAGCGTATGATAAACAAAGTTCCAGGAGAAAGTCTGTGGAAAGATCCCCCAGAATTATGGGAAACAGACTGCACTGCTGGTTTTATGGACACAGCTCCTTTCCAGCACTCAGGCAGTAAAACTAAAATAAACTCCCTCAAAGTTAAAAATACCCAATAAAACTCAACAGGCAAGGTAATTATTGGACCCGACAGAGGGAGAAGACAGGTCACTTGTTCCCACAGAGAGCTGCTTACCTTGCTGACACCAAACAGGAAGACATCTTTCAGTTCATCTGTTTTTTCCCCAAAACTACATTTCTGTGATATGGATTTATAATACTGGCCAAGCCCACAGCACCCTGGGCCACATAAAGATCAAAAGAAATGTAAGCAGCAAGTCCTCCAGCAGCCTCTCCCGTGGTGTCACAGCTCCCCCAGGGGACCAGGCTGGGTGTCCGTTTTACATTGCCAGGGCTGACTGCTGCCCACATCCTCCTCACCAAAGCAGGTTCCTCAAGACCTCACCTGTGGGGCTTGCTGGGTCACTCCTTGGTGTGCAGATACAGCCAGTCAGGTCAGCATCCAGGGGATGAAGCTGTCTCCTCTCCTTTTACCTTTCCCTTGGCAAAATGGAAGTGACCATTCAGTCAGCAACTGAAGCTGCTAGCTCTAATATTAGAGAATAAATCCAGGATGAACACACACATGAATGACAAACTTAATATTGCCTGGGTTATAGAGGTAACATTTGCAACCTCAGCTGCTTTTGTCCTTTCTCCCAGCAAGGACCCTCACACTCTCTAGGAAGTTCTGACCTCCTATAGGTACACAGGTCTGTCACAAAAGCAAAACTGAGAACACCAGCAGTAACATAAAGGAGATTTTTATTGCCAAGCAGTAGCACATCAAAATAAGCAAGCAAATGCCACAGGAACTAACAAAATATAGGAGAATGTGTGACAAATTCACTGGATTTTAGTTTCTGGCATCTTCAGAAAAGATTTTTTTTTGTTTGGCTGACAGGAAACCACAAAGCAGAACTGTCCTGTAATTGGAGCAATCAGACACATACGGGGACAATAATTATAGGCAGAATAAATTACTTGTAAACAGATCCATTTACTGCATTTCTAACCACCTCAGATGTTTTTTTCTTCATATTTGTGGGTTTGGGCTTGCTTTTCTTGTTTCTTCTCCTAAAAGTCCCAAGATTTTTAGGTCTCAGTACTGCAGGGACCAGCTTTCTAAACATTTGCTCTCTGGGCTGGCAACAGTGGTTTATTCCACTGAGAAGATAAACAATTAGCTTAAACAGTTTAATGTTACAAATGACTTATGTTCCTGGTAATTACTCAAGTTGGGAGAGCAAGTGTTTTTTATGAAGCAAATTATGAAATTGCTTGTTTGTTTGGCATTAGTCAAGCATACCAGCAGTTCAGAGCTGTGAAAATGAGGTTTCTCTCTCTGTCCTAGCCAGTCAAACCATCAGGTACAAAGCTTGAAGTTACCAGCACAACTATAGCTCTTTTAATAAAATTTAAAAGCCCCATGGCCCTTCAAAAAAAAGTCCAGTTACTTTAGGGAAGGTAATAGTGCAGAATTAACCCATTCCCTGTTCACCAGCATGGTTCCCAATTCTCAAGTAGAGCACATTAAAGTTCAAGGGTAAACAACACCACAAGGAAAAGAACAGAAATCTGCATACCTTTCAAAAGCAGGTGAACACAGAAAACACCCTTAAGATGAGCAGTTCCTAATAAGCACCTTCCTTTCAAACAAATGTTGGAAGACAGCATTAGTCCTTGACTAAAATACACCTTGTGGCTGCTCATGGAAATCAAAGGCTGATTTATAACCACTCTGCCTTTCACCACCACTGCACTTCCAAGTAACTCCCTCAAATTACATTCCAAGTGAATCATCTTGGAGAGTGACCTTAGCTCAGTGATGTCATCAGCAATTAGAATGCTAAAGTTGCTAATATGCCTCCAGTGATTGTTTTTGATGTCCAAGTAACTCCCTTCATAACGGAGTCTGTGTCTGCTAAAAACCCACTGGATCACAGCTCTCAGTTTCACCAAGCACAGGACAGCTTATGGCATTTTGGAATCTCCACTGGTATAAATTTGATTCTCCCCAGACAGCAATCAAGGATAAATGGGGAAAATAGCAGTTAAGTCACATCTGATGGGAATTTTGTCTTTTTCTAGACACCAAAAATTTATCATGTCATTCTGCATTCACTTTATTAATAGGAAAGCTGCTAGAACTGTTAAATCTTGGTTAAAGGTGAGTTTATTTATTCCATGAAGAATCAGGTAGTTGAGACAATAACACTAACTTCAGATAATATTGATTTACCTAGCCAAGGGATAAACAGAAACTGAAAATACACATCTGTTAACTTGGAAGGCTTGAGATGGTTTCCACTGAGCTCTCACTCTTGATGCTTTTCTTCAGTGCTCTGATATTGTAGCCTGGGTTTATTAGGATTGTGTTCAATCAGCCAGTCAGCAAGCCAAGTCTGTGGAACAAAAAACCCAAACGTTTTCTGTTGTCTTCTAGTGTCTGAGAGAATATTAAAAGCATTGTCTGACCCCTTTGATATGGACACTCTCCTACTGTGCTGCACAATTAAGACCCTTCCAAAAAAAAAATGGACATGCAAATAACCTGCTTTTTTTTTTTGAAAATGCTCACAGTTTATAGAGCTTTTGAGCAATTCACAGTGACCTTCAGAAGACAGCTTTTCCTGGCAGTGTCTGTCTTTGTGTCTACAAGAGAACATTTGAGCCATACTTCAAATAATCTGATAACTCCTGTTTGGAACGAGGCTGTACAATATGCAGGAAACTGCTTAAGGAAGGATCACTCCTGACAACACTTGCAGGTACTTTGTGTAGAAATCACCCATTACAAGTGCCAGTCTCCTGCACTGAAATCACCCTACAGTACCTACAACGCCAAAACAAAACGTGGCCACTTTTTGAAATTAATCTTACAAGTTTTTCAGCACGTTGTACTTAAATAAGAACGTGGGAGGCATGAATGCCCCCGAGTCCCAGCTGCAACTGCCAAAGTCTTGGCCTGGCCCTAGGCAAATTAACCCTTTGCCTCGATCTCTCCACTTGTACAGAGAAGGTTTTAACACCTCTTTATTTGCTTCACAAGGCTGTTGCCGATGAGTTTCTGGAATGCTAAGTACAACAAACGTCATAGCATGTTGTGAAGTGAAGGAATTGATAGTATAGGAGAGCAACCCTTTTATTACCAGGTACAAAAAGAGACAAGCAGAGTCTATGACAATCCTCTTAGTCACCAGTAGCAGAACTCAAGACAGAAATGGAAAACAAACCCAACCAAATCCCAAACCACAAAAGTCCAAAAGCCCTTCAAACGACTACTTGGGAAAAATAATTTTTTTTTAAATCATTTGAGCCTGATTAAAATTATCCTGTGTTACTTCAGGAATTGGCTGAGCAACCTCTGTGCTGCTAGCAAGTATTCCTGAGTGGACAGGTAGCTTCTGAGGTCATCTTCAAGAAGAAAGAAAAACAAAATTAAAAAAAGGAAAAGCAAAATCACCTGTCCTTCAATTCCTGGAACAATATCAGAGAGAAACAACATTCCATCAATATCCCTGCAAGTCATCTAGCAGGTAACAAAGTGAAAAGCCAACAATTCAGAAAAAAAAGTTGTAACAGAAGGAAAATGTTGATTTGCTACAAGGTCACAGGCATTATAGACAGGGGAGAAGGAGCAAACACCATGTTTTCATTTTAGTAAAGCTACTGACACTATTTCATGGAGCTTTATAGCTTTTTTACAAGCAAGGAAAGAAGGAAAGAATGGTCTTGACAAAGTTACTACTTGTTACCACATAGCTGGCTAGAAAATTGTGCTCAGAATGCAGAGATTCATTGGAAGCAAAAAATCAAACAATGAGTTAGAGAAATCTGATTTTTTTTTTCTTCTTACAAGTCACGTTTTAATATAGCAAAGATAAAGCTGAAGGCAAAAAAAAAGCTGGTAATGCTCCTCAAATATGCAATAGTTTGCTGCCAATAAAAAAACAAAATAAAATTTTAAAAATTAAATTAAAAATTAAAAAAGAGTGATATTACACTGTCTTCAATAGCCTCTAGGGACAGGAAAAAGGAAAAAAGCCCCAAACAAGTAATGGGCTAAGAACTGGAGCACAGCAGATTTCAGCTACCTTTCAGTGAAAGCTTTCCCATTAGGTAAAATTAAGCACTGGAACAGATTGCCTGGAGATTCTCCATCACTTGGAGATCTAAAGAGCAGGCCAGACAAACACCTAATAGGAATGGTTGGATACAATTGGTCTGGCCTTCGGGCAAAGGGATGGATGAAAAGGCTTCTCCAGCTCTGTTACCTAGACTTCTGTGGTGACAGTGCCAGAGATACAGAGAAAGTGAACAGGTTATAAAGCTGGAACAAGCCCACAACATTTAAACTGACCCCATATATACCACACAGTTCCCACAAACACACCTGACTATTTTTCCGGGCTTTTTTCTCTGAAATGTATCTTTCAGAACAATGCAATGTTGATTAAAAGCCTGATAATGATGTAGAATCCACAAGTGCCACTGAGTTGTCTCACTGACTAATTATCTACATTCTTAGAGAAGTACTGGTGTGAACGACTTGAACTTTAAGAATGCATAAAACATTTACCGTATTTTTCCAGATGAAAGAAAGCTAATTTTGTTTAGAGGCTGAAAAGAAAAAACCAACATCCAAACACCAGCACCACAAACCAACCAACAGGAAATTAACTCTGATCTTTCCACCAAGAACTGTTATGTGAATGATATCCACGGCAAGAAGGAGGAATATGTGAGAGGAGGGCAAGATGCATCAGCTTGATAACTAGAAAGGGGTCACAAGAAGACAAGGATTTTCTGTAGATCAGCTTAACTATTTAAGGTAGGTTTCACTCAAAACGATCATAATTCCTTTTCCTGGTGAACTGTGGAGCAACACAAGTAAATGCTAATCAGTGCAAAATCATAGCTTATCCTAAAGAAGAGTTAATAACATTAATTTAAATAAACATAACAAAGATAAAGTGTAGACAGCTTTGCTAAGAACTCTACAGTACTTTAGGCAACCATCTAACTACCACCAGTGTGATTAGCATTTAATCTCACTTAGTATCTGTTGTAGGAGAGATATTTCATCTCAAACTCACCTCAGGAACAGTAAATAAAGTAGACACTTATATCTGACATCTTACAGCAATACCCACTTACTTTCCCAGCCATCAGTAACAACGACATGTTAGAAAGAGCTTCATAGAAGTCACCCAAAACCCCCTTCTTTCATCAAGGCAGATTTCAGTCACTCCTGACCCCATTTCAACAGTTAACAAACCACTCATCCTCTTGAAAGGCACAAGTTATTTGATTAGCTCATTAGCGGGTGGCCAGAACAGCCCAGCTCTCTAACAGAAGAGTAACTTCCCTACAGACAGGGGCTTTACCAACACAAAGGGAAGGTGCCCCAGCGCCCGGGGCAGAGTGCACACACCATGGGGTCCGCAGGCTTCTCCTTACACAGCGCCGTGAGCCCGGCCAGCAGCGTGGGCTTCACATGCAGGGCCAGGTAGTCTCGGGCTCTTTGTCCAGCTGGAATTGGCTCCAGGATTGCTGCAAAGAGGAACCGCAGGGGTTGGAAAGCAGCTCGCAGAGTCCTTCAAACAGGCGTTCTCTCCAAGGCTGTTCAGACACCAGCTGCTGTTTTTCTTAATAAGTTAATAATACATAATGGGTTTTATAGCTTCTCCCACAACAGACTGCAGGGAAACTACCTGAACCCCTTTACAAAGCTCCTGAGGTAACCTTACTAATTGGAGACAATTATGGAAGGGGAGGAAAGCAGATCACCTGGGGAAACCTACACCCTTCAAGATGTGCTGGTGGCAGGAGAGGAACGACAAAGCCCGTGCTCAGTACCCCCCTCTTGCATTGTGAAGCTGGTGAACCCCCTAAAAATCTCACCTTACATCCTGCTTTGTCACTAGGGCAAGGAGAAGAGCTGTGGCTTACAACAGGCAAAGCTGTAGGGAAGTGCAGCATCTTTTACCAAACTAAGTGATAGCTGACCCAGACAGACAAGCTTTTCTAGCAGTTTCCCCTGCAGCTTTCTGTCAAAGCACAAAGCCACCTTTCAACTGTTACATCACCAACAAGAGATCCTCTCCCAGGCTCTCCAGGTTCTATGGCCCATTTCTCTGGCACTGCACTGTCAGGGGAGCATCCAGTTGCTGTTAAACAGGAATTACACAACTTGAGCCCATAGGTGAGTCAGTCATCTCAAGCCAACAGGATTCCCCAGGGCTGACAGTGCCAGAAAAACACTGGAGTGTAACAGCTTCCCATTTCCTCTCATTTAACCATCTCTGTCTGCTTCAGTTCCCAGACCACAAGAGTTTGGAAAGCAGAAGCAATCTCTGTAATGGCTCTTCAAATAGGGTAAGTTTTTCACATCAGAAAATATTAGCTCATACGTACAGCAAACAAACCTCTTCTAAATCCCACTGTATCTAGAGTCTGGACAGAGGCAAGTAATAACAGGAAGGACACCATCCCCCCAAAGATTACCCAGATATTATTTGAACCATTTTACCTTCTGGAAACATGAATCGAATTTCCTTCTCTGCTGAGGAAATGCTGAGACTGCCATGAAGTGCATTCCTCAGATCATCAGTCCCATAGATGGCTCTTAAGCTAAAAACAAGAGAAAAAGCTGCTTGGTAGGCAACTGCAAATCCTTTCCAAGACTCTACACTCTGACAGCATACAAAAGCAATATATAGGAATTCATTAACCAGGCTTAATTTTGGTTTTAGAAAAAAAATATGTGGGTGTTTAAAATTTATGCTCATGCACTCAGCATTCTCCATCAAATGGGTGAACTTTACATATTTAAAAAAAAAAGGTGAAAAGCTGTGTTATACAAAACTGAGGAGATAACAGGCCACTCAAAATCTGTATTTCTGTTGAGTTAACAGTGTTTCAGAGCAGCCCAGAAAGCCAGTCACCTCCTGGGCTGCACCAAAAGAAGTGTCACCAGCAGGTCAAGGGAGTGGATTCTGCCCCTCGGTGAGGCCCCACCTGGAGTACTGCACCCAGCTCTGGAGCCCCCAACACAAGAAGGACATGGACCTGTTGGAGCAGGGCCAGAGGAGCCCTGCTTGATGTTCTGAGAGCTGGAATACCTCACCTGCAAGGACAGGCTGAGAGAACTGGGGTTGTTCAGCCTGGAGAAGAGCAGGCTCCAGGGACACATTATTGTAGCTTTCCAGTGTCTGAAGGGGGCCTACAGGAAAGCTGGGGGTGGGGGCATTTAACACTGGCTTGTAGTGATAGGATGGGGGGTAATGAGTTCAAACTGGAAGAGGGGAGATTTAGATTAGATGTAAGGAAGAAGGTCTTCACTATGAGGATGATGAGACACTGGCACAAGTTGCCCAGGGGGCTGCGGATGCTCCATCACTGAATGTGTTCAACATCAGGCTGGTTGGGGCTTTGAGCAACCCAAACCATTCTAGGATTATATTGTAAAATAAAAAACAAAAAAATAAACAAACAGAGTGAGAAGACAAGAGAAAGACAAAATCCTACCAAGCTCCCCAAGGCTAAACAGTGAGTTACCTGTGAGGGTGAGTTCTCCTAGCTTTTAAGGTGTTTGATGGTCCAAGCAATTCCTTCCAGTAAGAGACTGCTCGATGTCTGGCAAGAACCATAGCAACTAAAGGTCCAGAACTCATATAGGCTGTTAAGTTAGGAAAAAACATTTTCCCATATTGGTCTGCATAGAAGTTGCTACATTGCTCTGGGCTTAAGTGGAGCTTCCGTTTCTGTTAGTGTAAAAGGAAAAAAAAAAAAAGAATGAAAGAAAAAGCTTGTCAAATTAAGATAGGACAAGGTGACAAGCTATCTTCAAGTGCAGGAGAACAGACACAGAGTAATGTCCCAACCTCAACTAATCCTCCCAGCTCTGAGCCTCTTTGAGATACAGAGTAACAAAAAGCAGTTTTCCAAAGTTAATTAAGCAGACAAATAGGCCATCTGAGTAAGATACAATTTTAACCTGCACAAACTCCAGCGTTTTATAGCTGCTGGATGACTTAAAGCATAGCCAAGGCACAGTACAGAAAAAAGTGGTAAGCATTACAAGGGCAGGGGTTAATTACTCATCCGCTCCAGCATCATTTTTTACTTTTAAACAATTTTCTCTTCAGCCCACACGGCTAATTATGGAATTGTTCTAATTATCACTCAGTACTCAGCTTTACAATTCTCACAATAGCTGCCTAGCCTGCCGGCGGCCAGGATTAGGACAAGTCTGGAAGGTTAGCAGAAGGCATACGGCAGTCACGAAAAGAGAAGTAAAGGAAAAAGAGTTTTGAAGTGCTTTTTTTGTGCCTGAACTCAAACAAGAGTAGCCTAACTTCAGAGCCCTAAGGCCAAAACTCACTGGAGGCATCAGGAGGCGCTATAAACACCTTGTTATTAAAAAAAAAATATAAACAGAAAAGATCTAACGGCTCTTTCTTGCTGATTCATTTTGTAAAGATGCAATAATGACACCGAGAAGCGACGGGAAGGCATTAAAAACGCAGACGTGGGGGCAAAGGGCGTTTCTCAGACCAATGACGCGAGGAAGAGGAAGGCGGGTC